TCCCACAGGTAAATTGACATTAGATTTTCCCCTCTTCTCCCAAGCGTCACATGGTGGGGTGATTGAGGGATTTCCAGCCGTGTGGCTGGATGTGATGCCCAAGAACAAAAGGACTAACCCCAGGCTAGTGTCCAGGGATGCCCTTTGGAAGCTCCGCCCCCTGACCCTTGCTCCCTAGTTAGGATTAGATAGAGCTATAGAAGGAACATGAATCTATGATGATCCAGAATAAAGCATCTTAGTTCAGGATCCAGAACATCACTGGTCTACTAATTTAGTCACTTTGTCAAAGAATGACGAAGTTTGGCATGATCTGTTTTTAACAAATCTGTGCTGGCTACTAGTTATAATTTTATTTGTTTCTAGATGTTCATAGATCTGTTTTTTATTATTTTTCCAATATCTTCCCAGGTATTGAAGGTTAGGTTGATTTAGAATGGTAGATTCTTACTGTGCTCTAAACCAGCAGTCCCCAGCCTTTTTAGAAAGGTTGATTTCATGGAAGACAGTTTTTCTACAGACTGGGGTGGGGGGCATGGTTTCTGTTTCACTTGCTCACCCGCCACTAACCTCCAGCTATGCGGCCTGGTTCCTAACAGGCCATGGGGACCCCTGCTCTAAACAGGTTGTCCATGTTAGCAATAATCATAGAATCATAAAAACATGGGGCTGAAAGGGACCTTGGAGGTCTTCTAGTCCAACCCTCTGCCCAAGGCAGAAGACTTTTTGCCTCGTGTCCAAGAGGGATGACTGTGGACAGGGATAAATTTGATTCTTCACACTCATTCATTATCATTTTTTTCACCTATTATCATGTTTACACATGCCCTTGAAGATGCCCAACAACATTTATTCTTGACAAAATGCATCTCACTGGAGTCTACTTTTTTAATGTGATAGGAGAATACAGAATATCAGAGGAGGGCAACAAACATGATGCAGGGGCTAGAGGTGAGAACAGGCTGAAGGAACCTGGGATGTTCTTCCTGGAGAAAAGAAGCCTCAAGGGACATAGGATACCAGGGTCCTGATACACACTGAACTGCATTCTTAAATTTTAACCTAAGAACTGTTTGCAAAGAAAGAAAAATTTTAGCCTTTGGCTAATCTTCTAAAGGAGAAATTACTGGAAAACTTTTGGATGGTCAAATGCTTTGAACTGGATAGATAAAGCTTGTAAAGGGGCCCTATAGTAAAGAGGAATAAGATATATAAGTAGTATAACACTTTTAGAATACGTATATGAAATGTTAAAACATTGAGAGGGTCTATTTAAATGAAAAGTTTGGATATTTAAAGCTAATGAATGTTGAGAAAATTATGACTGATAAGAGTGGTCTGAATACTGAGGGGAAACTAAGCTTTAATAAGAATCTTGAAAACAGGACATATAATGATTTAATAAGATGACTTTTATAAATACAATGGAAATAAGCTGATTAAAAACATGTTATATGTTGATGTTATTATTATATGCATAAATACTAGAAAATGTTTATATTCAACTTGGTTTGTACTGAAAATATTAAGAATTATATTTGTTTAATGTAGACAAAAGGGGAATATTACAGGAAGAAGAGAGGATCAAGAAATATATTACCAACATATTGATTAATTGCAGAAATTAATTATTATTGATTGTTTTAAATATAGGAACCCAACACACTATTCATGAAGCACTAAAGATTGTTATTGTAAAATATTATATATATATTAATTATATATATATTTATTAAACGATTTTTAGTTTGATATTATCCTGGTGTTCGCATTTATTCGTTTTTTACTGCATATTTATATATATAAGTATTGGAGGTGGAGGTATCCCTCTGACTGGTCTTACCTTGGAATCTTGAACAGACTTTAGTAGACTGCAGTGAAACACTGGGTGGATCCACCTAAGACTTCTTGGCATCTGCCCTGTCACCGGGTTTATAATCCGCACAATGGAGAAAGGACTTATATACTTAGGGCCCAGCTTCTTACAGGGCTGTCTTAGGTTTAAATACTTTGTGGAAAAGTACACTTTATCACCCACTGTCAGAATCCAGTTATATTTCATTTCTATCTATCTTCTCTGATATAAAACCAATTCTTACTCTCTCCTGGATTCTGTCATACTACTAAGGTGGAGGGGGGTATGCATGGTTTTTTTTTAATTACTTTCACTTCCTCTATTCACTACAAAGTAACCTTTTGTTGATTTGCTTAGGATCTGCTAACCATAACAATGTAGCCATTTGCCTTTCATCCTATGCTCCTCTGAACTTCTCCTTTACTGGCCAGCGAGAGAAAGGTGGGGGGGGGGAAGATGCAGCATTTGGGATCTGTGTGAGGAGATGTTGAATAATCATGGCAACGGAGGTGGACTGATGTTATCTCTCCTGGAGTTGACACCTAGAAATCTGCCAGTTTAAATTGCCTGGAAGAACTGCGGGGTGGGGGGCTGCTTAGGGACATTTTAAAACATCGAATTGTAAGGGAATCCCTCAGATCCTGTCTATCATGCCTGCTATTCTTTCAATAAAAGTTCCTGTTGGAAGAGACCGTTTCCAAGAGTTCTGCTTTCTTAAGATGTGGATTGAAGTGGATCCTTACATTAGACAGGATCTGCAGTAATAGTCAACCTGGAAGGGAGAACCTTGCCGGGGGACTTTGCAAAAAATACAATGTCAGATGACGAGGCAGGGAAGGGAGAAACCCCCACGGAGAGGGAGCCTTCCCCCCCAACCGAAAAACCTGCCAGCTGTCGGGGTCTGAAATGTCATACTCCGCAGGAGAAGAGATGGTGGAGATGCGTAAACACAAACCTTGATGGTTAATGGGCGTTGGAAAGAAAGGTGAGTGGGAAAAGATATTGAGAAAGGTGACCCTGAGACAGGGGGCCAACCAACCAGAATGGAAGTAGGAGATGGAGAAATCCCTGCACATGAGCGAAGAGGAAGGAAGTTGGGCACAGCACTCGAACTGGATCCTAGAGAAAGCTATCGACCTGATGAAAAGAACCCTCGACTCCCTAGGGGAGGAGAATTCTG